TAAACTTCATCACGTCACAATCCAAGAAACTCCAGACATTATGATAACCAAGAAAAGATGGAAATGGCCTGGCCTCTTTATGAGAATTAAATCTATTTAACCTATCAATGCAGCTCTTACCTGGACAACAGAGGGAAAGAGAAAGAAGGGGCGCCCTAAAACAACATGGAGACGAACGATGGAAAGTGATCTGAGTGCAGGTCCGTCTCTGACATGGAAAACTGCACTGAAGATTGCACAGGACAGGAAAGCAGGGGAAGTCCTCTCCAAGACCTCATGTGCTACTAGGCATAAAGAGAATTGATGATTAATTATACTAAGAGCAGCAGTTCGTTTTTGAAGGTCATTGGACTGTGAGTCCATTGATATTGTGTTGCCGACTTGCTCCTAGTGTACAGGGAATATTGAAGGTGTCGGCGATGTTATTTTCATGGGTAGATCTGCAAGTCGCTAAGAGCCATGCGTTGGTCTGTTCGTGATTGGACTTTTTCCAGGTGTAGTAGCCAGTCGCACACCAACTCCACTGGTTTCCTTTTACGACATGCATCTTTCGTTACAGTAGTGATATTCGTCTCTTCCATAATTGGTTCCGGTCTTATTTCTTGGTATATAAAAAAAAAAAATATATTTCACTGCCTAGGATGTTTTTTCCCTTCTCCAAATGTTTGCCTTTGATATAAATGAAGTCTCGTGCATACGATGCACGAGAAAACTGATGAACAGAAAATTGAATAGGTTGACTTCAAGGAAGCGAACAAATAAGAGGAATTTCCAGATAGACACTTATATCAACAGGTATGCAGGAGAAAAAGACGACGATATCTTGGGCATAACCGAAACACAAGCGAGCATAGAACCACCAGACAGGCACTTCAATGGGAAACAAATGGATTGAGGAAACGAGGACCGAGGGTGAACGTTGAGAAGAGAGGCCAAAGCTGCTGCATTTGATTCCGTTCATAATATCAGAAGGATTGCACACTTTATGGCTCAATGAAGGGATTGGCTGCTAGCACTGGGTGACCTATATAGGCCATCGGTCAAAATGGACGCTAGGCACGGCCACTGTTTGGAGCCGAGATAAATTTTTTGCTTCTGCCAGACGGTGGCCGTTGCATTGTTGCTCTATTTGTAGACTGAAAGGATATAGTTTCGTCGCCCTGCTTCTGAGTTGAATGCATGGCGTGACACTATGAGATGCAGATTTCATTTGGAATGTTTTTCGACTGTGACCAACGTGGTGGTGTGAATTGTAGATTCAGAAAATGGCGCGATGGCTGTTGTAGCAATGTTGGTGGTGCTCTTTTGTGATTAAAATTGATCGCGTGTGCAACTGCTGATCTGTTGGTAACTTCTGTTACCATCAATGATGAACTGTATTTCTAATGTCGGACTGTTTGTGTTAGCACTTCGGATGGCTACCTTAAGCTTTTAATGCGCGTGTATGCTAGATATGATGAGACAGCAGTCTGTCAATCTTTCCACAAGGGACTGTGATAAACATTCTATATATTTTTCGCTGGCACAGGAGCGGAGCAAAGATGGGGTAACCCGTTTGCTATGAAGCTAAAAATTAAGACTACCAGACCTATATAGTGGTACAATAGAATCAAGATGGTGGTGGGGATATCTCGGTGGGGATACGAGCTTAAACCCACTTGTCCGGCAGGCAGGAATACTAATCTCATCACTGATGTGGCTCCCAGTCTAAGTTAAAGACACCGTAATGAAATTATCAGTGAGAAAATATGCATTATGTCAAAGAACGCAGTGTTTATTTATTTCGTGTACAGTGTACATTCTTGTCCGCGACACGGTCCCGCCCAGTGGCGGATTAATTGTATCTCGTGGATGCAGTACAGCCAAGCATCCGCGTCGCTCCAGTCCTATAGCTCATTGCTGTTCACAGCTAACTGATGTCACACGTGACCGTACTTCTTGCTGTTCTTCCACCTTCCTTGTTCTTCTGGTCACTATTCTTGTTCTTGCTTTTGTTTTGCCTCCTCCACCTCTTCCCTGTACTTGCAGGCATTCTTCTTCTTCTTCTTCTTCTTCTTCTTCTTCTTCTTCTTCTTCTTCTTCTTCTTCTTCTTCTTCTTCTTCTTCTTCTTCTTCTTCTTCTTCTTCTTCTTCTTCTTCTTCTTCTTCTTCTTCTTCTTCTTCTTCTTCTTCTTCTTCTTCTTCTTCTTCCTCCTCCTCCTCCTCCTCTTCTTCCTCTTCCTCTTCTTCTTTTGCTGCTGCTGCTCCTCCTCCTTCTACTTCTTCTGCTCCTCCTCCTTCTTTTGCTCCTCCTCCTCCTCCTTCTTCTTCCGAAGTTTCGCTTCTGTTCTTCCTCTCCTCCTTCTCACGTGTCCTAGTGGAGTATATGCAATCAACATGTCGTGCCAAGCCTGCTAATTTTCCAGCTAACGTTGTCTATGTGCTGAGATAGCGAGCCCCACGCCAGCACTTATTGGAGACCTCTAACTACCTGAATGTTAGCCTACACTTTCGCCTTTGTTGCCTACCTTATTGTTTACTATCTCCCTGGTCTGTTTGTGTGGGGGTGGTGGGGTGGAAGGGGGGGGGGGTTGGGAGGAAGGGGTACTGCGGTTGGGGGATGCTCCTTATCTATCATCAGGCGTTGCAACTGGACATTTCCCTACATATATCCATGGGGGCTGCAACTAGACATTTCCCTACAACTATTCATGGAGGCTGCAACTGGACATTTCCCTACATCTATCCATGGGGGCTGCAACTAGACATTTCCCTACATCTATCCATGGGGGCTGCAACTGGACATTTCCCTACATCTATCCATGGGGGCTGCAACTGGACATTTCCTTACATGTATCCATGGGGGCTGCAATTGGACATTTCCCTACATCTATCCACGGGCGTTGTAACTGGACATTTCCCTACATGTATCCATGGGGGCTGCAACTGAAAATCTCCCTTTCTCAGTTACTATGGTGCTGCACCTGGGGGTCTTAGTTTAGCTATCATTAGGGGCTGCAGTTGGAAAGCTTTCTCCACCTACCTGCGACCTTGATCTCAGTAACTATCCTAATTTATGTATTTTAAGGGACGTCTTGAAATGAGGTCTGTGTTAGTATTACGTCAATGATAGATCGCTTATAGACATGTCCATGAAATAATTTGTTCAAGCTGAAATAACTAACTAACTCTTGTTTTCTTCTCTCCCTAGGCTGTGGAGTTTAGATAGAATCACCTAAGGCAGAATTATCATTGAAGCTCTAAGCAGACGTGATCCTGGTGGTCTTTATTACATCCGGCCAGTGGCATTATGGGAGAAAAGAAGAGAGACTATTTGCATAATTTTTTGTTATTTGTTAAATAGTTCTTCGCGCGGAACGCATACATCTCCTCTGAGGGTAAGTACATCGTTTTTGTTACTTCTTCTTCTTCTTGTTCACCGGCTGTGAATTCCGGCGGTAAGTCGCGGTTGTTCGTCCAAATGGACTTTTGGCTTTTGCCTCGACCTGAGTTTTGCGTTTACATCCGTTTTACTGGCTTATTTGTTTGCAGTTCTCTTTCCCCGCCTCTTCGGCAGATGTACTCCGACTTCGAGGGAAGACGTCAGGCCTATTTCTAGGTTGACTGTGGCCATTGTTTTGTGTGGGTCGAGATGTTGCCTCATTTGTGTGGTGTCCTCTTTGACCTTTAGCAGGTGTGTCCCCCGGAGAACCCTCCTCAATTAAGGCAGCCCAGGTAGAATTGTCAGCCCTCAAGGGAAGGCAGGGGCAGATCATGGGCATTCCCTGCCATCCAAGGAGGCTTCCATAAATGCAGAGCCGACACATGATTCTCTGGTTCTGGGCTCACCCAAGGAATCGTCACGTCCTGCCCATGACTGCTTAACCTCACAACCGTGTATTGAGCTTCCCGCGCTACAAGGCTACGCTCTCCGGGTTTTTGTTACACATTGTATTTTATTTATGACAAACTGGGATACATGTTACAAGTTTACAGCACCTCTAAGACAGTGTTTTAAAAACTTTTCTTGGTCGCGGCCCATTTTTTCAGTTAACATTTTTCCACGGTGCCCTAACCTAAGTAATACGTGTCTTGGTTAAATTAATTATGAATATTTTACAATTTCGTGGTGCCCCTGTAAAGAGGTCAGTGTCCCCCAGGCCGCACAGTTTGGAAATCACTGCTCTAAGGTGATCCAAACCAACGACCACTGATTCAGAAGATAAGCATGATAACCACTTTGCGACCTCATCATTATCATGTAGGATGTCGTTTACAGAACGTTGCTGCTACCCACAGCCCTTTTGAAAGAAACTCGGTCCTATGCCAGCTCTCCTGTCTCATGCACATGCCAGGTCAAGATGTCTTATATCCTGGACCCACCTTCGTGTCCTCCTGAAAATAAGACCGGTGATATGTATTTTTGCCCCTGTAGATGAGGTAGTTCAGGATGACTTGTTTGTGTTGTACACAGCTCTGCATTTTTTCAAGTACAAAAAAAAATATCATTTATTGAAGTACAAAAATATAATTTATGCAAGTAAAAAAATATCATTTATTCTAACACAGTCATGTCATATTCCTCTGAACTGTCTTTGTAATTCTTCCTCCTCCTACTCCATCAAATCATCATCTTCTGCTTCTTCTTCTTTCTTTTTTTTTTCCTTCTTCTTCTTTTTCTGCCCTCTATCCTCCAATGGAAGTAAGACCTTCAGCCAACTCACATCAAGTCATTTCTGTCTTTTGCTGTCACATGCAGCTTACCGTATGTCCTGGTCCTCTGTTTAACTTTACTCTCTGGATGCCTTCTCTGTGTGTTTTTTTGTGTGTTGACGTCTTTCTCTTTGCCTCTGTGGGTTCCAGTGTAAAAACATTCTAGTTATTTTGTTCTCAGGTTTTATCAGAATGTCTCTTATTCAGCTGCAGCAGAGTTATCTGCTCTTATGTTAAGTTTAAGATGATAGGTTAAAATATAATCCTGATAATGTCTTAAACGTGTCAAACAATATCTTCCTCAGAAAATGGGAGCTGCACAAAGCAAGAAACGCAAAAGGGATAGAAAAAGAAAAAAGAAATTGCAGATAGGAATGACTTCAGATTTCGACATGCCGCGCAGCGCTAGTGTTGATGTCCTTCGGACGCTGAACATCTCTGCTGCCTGCTGCTCTCACTGTCAGCAGTTACGAGAGAGAACAATTTGTCGATCTCTAGGTGGCTCACATCATCTGCTTAGCCACACCTGTTGGCACGGAGCCCGCAGTGACACTAGTAGCAGGAGGGACGGATATGAATCTGGTCCCTGTTGTTCAGCCTCGGCTCATTGTCTGACAGCCTCTATCGCAGGTCTGGAAATTGAACGGAGCACCATGTCGCTGAATAGGAATTTTGCTGGCAGAAGTTCAAGGTTTAATGAGTCCAAAAGCTCTGAGTTTAATGAGTTGTTGGAAATTCTCAAGCATCACGGAGGACAAGGGGGCCATTCTCCATCACCAGAAAGTGCAATAATACAGAGTCAAGCAAATGAGAACAATGATGATGATATCATTGTTGCTCCAGCGACTGTCACAACAACACCAACAGTGGTGTTAACATCCACTGAAGATTCTCAGTCTGGAAATACCGACCAGCCAGTTCAAGGTCAGAAAAAGACCATCAGCATCTTAGAGGACGAGGAATCAAGACTTGCCAGATGGGAACGTCAGAAGCTGATGACGCAGCAACTGCGGACACTTCGCAGACATATACAACAACAAGAAGCTGCAGGAAGAGTTGAACACAGTGCACTGCCATTTGAAATTTTGAGCAGCACCAAGAAGACAGAAGTTTCTAGCGCACAAAACATATCAGTTGAACATGCACCCGTGTTGACTTCTGATACTTTTGAAAATTCTGCTAGTTCTTCACCTGAGTCAAAAGAATCCTCAAACGCTTCTCGCCGTATCTTGAGAAGTAAATTCTCTAGGATGAGCAACTACCGGTATTTAGACAATCACCCTATTTTGTCTAAACTTCAAAATGAACAGAATAACAGACTTGAAACCATGGAGCGGAGGATGAAAGAAATTCGAATCAGTGCCATGCAAGAAGCAGAGAGGAGAAAATTTGCAGAGATATTCCCTGCAAAGGAGGATAACTCTAGAACAGAGAGAATGTTGCAGGAGGCTAAAGAAACACTGGAGAAGTTAAAAGCAGAGAAGAGAAAGAAACAAGAAATGCAACAAAAACAGAAAGCACAGTTAACAATCACAAGTGCAGGTTCAAACCGATTGTATTCAGATACTCATGATGAGGACTCTAGAACAGATGATGACTCAGGGGACATCATCCCAGTTCATTTCATGCCAAAAGTAGGAGACATTTCACCTCCGAGCAGTGATACAACACTGATCCATCAAGAGGCACAGAGCTCCAAGTCCCAAGCGAAAAATGTGAAGTCACGTGATAAAAGCAGCACGTCACACTGGCTAAATGAGGCATGGCCTAACATTAATTTAGGTAAGTTCCTAGGTTCTTTTCTGTTAAGTTTCTACATCACGCAAGATTTAGGGAGATCCCATATTATAGGGAGGATAGGGTTAGGGCTAATGTTAAATGGACTACTACTAACCCCCTTAATAATATGGGATTTCCCTAATCCTTGCGTGATGTGGTAACTTTACAGAAAAGAACCAGTTCCTAATCTGAAAAAGAAATAAAATGGCAACCATTCAAATAATCAGTGATCTTTTTTAGTCCGTTCTCTTCTGCATTGGGATTTAGAGATATTTTGTGGCATAACTAAAGTGTTTCCATTCTAACCTGGAAGATCAAGTTACATTGTATTTATATTTTGTGTTTTCACTTCTACCTTTGTTTGGGGGTGTGGGGTGGGGGGGGGGGGGAGCCATGAAAGGGCAGTAACTAGATGCTCACCAACTTGTAGGTCAAGAATTATGCATCAAGGCGGATGGTTTTTTTTTTTAAAGCTGGCTTTTTTTTTTAGCTCTCAGGCCGACCCAAACCAAAATGCGTAAAAGATTTTCTTCGCGTTTGTTGACTATAACTCTAGAGGAAAGTTCTGGTTGTTCATCCACCTCTGGACTTTAGTCTTGGTTTGGAAGCTGAGTATGAGTGCACATCATTTTTACATATCTGACTTATTTGTATGCAGATTTTTGGTTGCTTACCTCTCAGGCAGATGCACTCCGAGTTTGAAGGAAGCCCCCAGTAAGTCGACTTGACATTCGTGTTGGAATGACAGTGGGTCTAATATTTTTTTCCCCTCCACAATAGGGCCCTAGAACTCACACAGGAAGGTATTATATAATGTCTTGGAAATAAATGGCAGCCGATATGATGTTAACCACACTCCTGGTTTTTTTTTTTTTCTTTTTTCTTTTTCTGTTTTTGTTTACTTACTATAGAATGTAAATTGTTTAGTAAAACCACAAATGTAAAATTGCCTAGTAAAGCCACAAATATAAAACTGCCTAGCAATGCCACAAATGTAAAATTGCCTAGTAGTGCTACAAATGTAAAATTGCCTAGTAAAGCTTCAAATGTAAAATTGCTTAGTAACGCTACAAAAATAAAACTGCATAGAAAGGCTATAAATGTAAAATTGCCTAGTAAAAACACAAATATAAAATTGCTCAGCTATTTGGGTTCGTTTACAATGTTTTGTAAAGGATCTGCAACTGACTGGTTTTGTGTGTGCGGTATAATTCTGATAACTGTCAAAAGAACATCTTTGTTTTATCTGTATTTGTTTTTTCCCCAGGCAACCCACTGACTTGGTTTCTCTTGCCGTTTCTGATGTTTCCCTTGATATTGCGGCTGCTGCTGTCCTTGGTCATCAACACGAGCAACAACAACAGCCACACCAGTAACAGCAGCAGCAGCAGCGACAGCTTCAACGCCAACGGTGTTGATACGCATGAAAAGAAGCTATAGATTTTAGATGTTTTTTTTCAGCATATAGTTTCATAATGACTACATTGTGGCTTACAAAACAACCTTTTTACAGAATTATTGTGAAAATTACTAGAGAGATCATCATTATAATCATAAATCTTTTTTGTAAAATTAACTCTGTTGCTCTTTTGGCCACAAGAAATATACTGTTTGTGACTAGCTCTTCTTCAAATGTACTAATCAAAGTGTCATGTGTGATTGTACTTCTTTATATTCAGTCAGAGAATGCTTAAAATCTGGCAGATTTTTAGTTTCATACAAGGTGTATTTCCTTTTGGGTTTTGGGTTGGAGTCTGTTGACTACGAAATATCTATAACTTTGTCAAAGAAAATTACCAGCCTAGGTCACGGGTGCTGGTACATGGGGATTGAGGCATTTAACATGCCCCCCGCCTCCCTTTTACAGCTTCAAAGCCTAAGAAGGCAAATTGTTCTTACTGAAATTATAGGAAAGCTTAGGCATTGTGAATACGTTTGGATATTCAGAGTTGCCAGGTTCAGTCCCATCTGTGGGAGATTTGGCAGCAGACCGCCTTAAGTTCATTTCAACAGTGGTATTTAGAACCAACAACTCAGAAAGCAGTTGAAAATTACTGAATGTCAAACTGACTAGTAATATCACAAACAACCAAAGGTTTCTGGAGTTGGTTCTGCAGTGTCCTGAAAAGGACACACAACTGACTTTGTAAAGTGGTAACTGTGTACCACCAACTGTGGCTTGTGGGATTTCATGAGTTAACTCTTCCAAGGTGTTTTGCTGGTAGCTGAAACCAGATTTCACATATGGATGCTTCTCATTCTTAGCCAGTTAACAAGCTGTGTACATTATACATATATAGGGAAAATGTCGTTGTGAGTCATCCGCTGGTGAAGAACACGTATACATACATCAGGAGTTATACTTATAGGATCAATGAAATGCGCTGCACTTACCGTACCGAGGAGCATGCCAAAGGACATGACTCCGTATCCCTGTCTAGACTGATGGACATGGGGGTGCAGCCTGGAACTGCAAGAAAGGAACATTTCACTAAGAGGACAAGGCGTTTCATTAACCAACACAGAACAGGCGTCATCAGTCGTTTTACACTTGTGGAGCTTCTGAGGAGGAGATGGGAGCACCTATGGATCTGTCCGGAGTGCTGTGATGATAATCCTTTGTAATCACTAATCACTTATAGTTCACTTGTAGTGGTATTGGCGATGTCTTTATTTTTCCTGTGTACAGAAACTTGTGGGACACTGTAAACATTTGTTAACTCTTCTATGTCTGAGATTGTGGTTACCCTCAGCGAAAACATTTTCTGGATCACAAGGACCTCACATAACCGGGACAGCTGTCTGCAGTAGAAATAGTTGAAATAATAGTTGGAGTTTCATTCACATTAGGAGTTTGTTAGGCTTCGTTTTTTTCTTGCTGTTGTTAATAAAACCAAGTTTTAAAATGTTGAGGCAGGTGAAATTGAAACAAAAAACAACTGCAATTATAACTACATTGAGGACCTTGTTTTTCCAGGTGATTTAGCACTCCTATCACATAAACACGAACATATACAAGAAAAAAGTAACAGACTACACAGCAGACATAGTGGGACTGAGAATAAATAAAAGGAAAACTAAGATCATGACAAACAGTCCAAACCAACAACCAGTGACCAGAAATAACCAAACACTTGAAAATGTAGAACATTTCACATATCTTGTCAGTGTGGTGTCCCTACCGGGAGGGACAGAGGAAGACATAGAGTCACGTCTGAACAAAGCTAGAGATGCTTTTGGAAGGATGAGGCAAATCTGGAAATCCAACAATTACTGCAGAGTAACGAAACTCCGACTCTACAAGAGCATCATTTTGCCAGTTTTTCTTTATGGAGCAGAATGCTGGAGAATGACCAAAAATGATGCGCCCAAGCTGTCCACCTTCCACCACACATGTCTACGTAGAATTATCAAACTTTTCTGACCAGATACAATCTCAAACACTAAACTACTTCAAGTCACAAACCAAAAAACTCTAGTCAGTATGATAACCAAGAGAAGATGGAAATGGCTTGGCCATGTTATGAGAATGAATTCTGATATACCCGCCTAAACAGCTCTCACATGGACACTAGAGGGAAAGAGAAAACAGGGGCGCCCAAAAACAACATGGAGACGAACGATGGAAAGTGACCTGAGTGCGGCATCTTTGACATGGAAAACTGCATCGAAGATTGCACAGGACAGGAAAGCATGGAAAGTCCTCTCTGAAGCTTCATGTGCCACTAGGCATAATGAGAATTGATGATTCATTGATAATACTATAACAGATAACATATTGCAGCTGCAGGAAAAGTTATAAATACACTGTGACTCACTTGGACATTTAAAATGTCACACACACACAAAAAGTGTATGAATAGCTGAAGTAACCTAAAATGTGAATCTTTGCGGCTGAAATAAACAGTATACTTCTGGTCGCTAAATGTAAATAAATTCTGTTAACAGTATATTTGACTGTGGTGGTTGACTATGGTGGTTAATGTGTCAGATAAAATTTAACAAAATAAAATTTGCATCAGGAAAGCACTTGTACAGAAGAAATTGGGGGGGGGGGTGGGGGGGGGAGGGTTAGATGGTAGCTATTTGCCAGGTATTTACTTACATTGAGAAAATTTAAACAGTGGATTTTATATCATTGACAGCCTTTCAGTACTGTTAAACTGCCCTTGAAAAAGACTGTACTAGATGCTGAAGGTAGACAATATCCACTGTGGGGAAAGAAAAATAAGTGCGATATAGTAACACAGAATGCATTGAATGGTAGACTTGGGCAGCGGCCATTTTGAGTTAGAAAGAGTTGTCGATTTTATGAATACCTAGGTCACCCGTATGTTCACAAATAGGAAAGTACAAGAACAGTAGATGATAAACCTGTCAGGCATGTTGTAAGTGACGACTACAGACATCTGATGGGACACTGTCTACCACATGTAAGTGACGACTACAGAAATCTGATGGGACACTGTCTACCACATGTAAGTGACGACTACAGAAATGGGACACTGTCTACCACATGTAAGTGACGACTACAGAAATGGGACACTGTCTACCACATGTAAGTGATGACTACAGAAATGGGACACTGTCTACCACATGTAAGTGACGACTACAGAAATCTGATGGGACACTGTCAACCACATGTAAGAGATGACTACAGAAATGGGACACTGTCTACCACATGTAAGTGACGACTACAGAAATGGGACACTGTCTACCACATGTAAGTGATGACTACAGAAATGGGACACTGTCTACCACATGTAAGTGATGACTACAGACATGGGACACTGTCTACCACATGTAAGTGACGACTACAGAAATGGGACACTGTCTACCACATGTAAGTGATGACTACAGAAATGGGACACTGTCTACCACATGTAAGTGATGACTACAGACATGGGACACTGTCTACCACATGTAAGTGATGACTACAGAAATGGGACACTGTCTACCACATGTAAGTGATGACTACAGAAATCTGATGGGACACTGTCTACCACATGTAAGTGATGACTACAGAAATCTGATGGGACACTGTCTACCACATGTAAATGATGACTACAGAAATGGGACACTGTCTACCACATGTAAGAGATGACTACAGAAATGGGACACTGTCTACCACATGTAAGTGATGACTACAGAAATCTGATGGGACACTGTCTACCACATGTAAGTGACGACTACAGTCTACACATGTAGTGATGACTACAGAAATGGGACACTGTCTACCACATGTAAGTGATGACTACAGAATGGGACACTGTCTACCACATGTAAGTGATGACTACAGTGGGATGACTACAGAAATGGGACACTGTCTACCACATGTAAGTGATGACTACAGAAATCTGATGGGACACTGTCTACCACATGTAAGTGATGACTACAGAAATCTGATGGGACACTGTCTACCACATGTAAATGATGACTACAGAAATGGGACACTGTCTACCACATGTAAGAGATGACTACAGAAATGGGACACTGTCTACCACATGTAAGTGATGACTACAGAAATCTGATGGGACACTGTCTACAGTAAGTGACGACTGATGGGACACTGTCTACCACACTGTCTACCACATGTAAGTGATGACTACAGAAATGGGACACTGTCTACCACATGTAAGTGATGACTACAGACATGGGACACTGTCTACCACATGTAAGTGATGACTACAGAAATGGGACACTGTCTACCACATGTAAGTGATGACTACAGAAATCTGATGGGACACTGTCTACCACATGTAAGTGATGACTACAGAAATCTGATGGGACACTGTCTACCACATGTAAGAGATGACTACAGAAATGGGACACTGTCTACCACATGTAAGTGATGACTACAGAAATCTGATGGGACACTGTCTACCACATGTAAGTGACGACTACAGACATAGGACACTGTCTACCACATGTAAGTGATGACTACAGAAATGGGACACTGTCTACCACATGTAAGTGATGACTGCAGAAATGGGACACTGTCTACCACATGTAAGTGATGACTGCAGAAATGGGACACTGTCTACCACATGTAAGAGATGACTACAGAAATGGGACACTGTCTACCACATGTAAGAGATGACTACAGAAATGGGACACTGTCTACCACATGTAAGTGATGACTACAGAAATGGGACACTGTCTACCACATGTAAGTGATGACTACAGAAATCTGATGGGACACTGTCTACCACATGTAAGGTTCCATACAAAGGAACAATAAAACATATCAACAACACCATTACAAGCATATATCCAGCCGTGTTTACACGTTTTCTTCATCATTGGAAGATCCACATCGAAATGTGCTTTAAAAACAGTGTCAAGAAAAGGTATAAAACTGAACGAAAAGTATATTAGCAAGCTTCACAATATAACAAATACAAACAAAACGTTAATGTTGCGGCTATTGAGCCTTTATC